AGCCTCAACCTGAACCCCCTCCTCCGTCCCTCCCTCCCTCCCTCCCTCCCTCCCTCCCCGAGACGACGCCAGAATTCAGAAAAGTTAGTCCAGGTGAAGGTTCCATGTTCTTGAGGCTGGAGGTGGGCAAGCGCTTTGATGAAGGCGCCCTATACTTGAAGTTGAGGAAAGAAAGAGAGGCGATGGCGTCTATGAAGATGAAGACGATGAGGAAATGGGCGATCAACAAGATCCAGCGCGGAGAAGCTCCTTTCGATGCCGAAAGTGAGGAGATCGAGGTCGAAGGTGAGGCCTGTAAGGTTGAAAAGCGCGGCCTTTCAAAGGGAAAGAACAATGAAGCTTGGCGAAGATTGGTTCATCACTACGTGCACTTCGCCGAGAACCTCAGTTTGGATTTGGCTCGGAAAGAATTCCACAGGAGAAAGTCGCATGAAGGCGATGAAGTCAGAGGCCAAATGGTTCCGCGGACGCCGAGCAAGTCTGAGAGGCGCGTTTACGAATTGACTCGCTGGCCATATCAAGATTGGTGCCCACGGTGACCTCAGAGGCGGTGTCGCATTGGTGGTGACTGATGATTGGTCGGTCAGCGCTTGTCGTTCCAACGCCTGCAAAGAGTCGTGCGCGCGTGAAGTTCATGGCTGAGCAGGTGAGTTCATTGGAAGCTTGGCGTATTCCAGAGTCATCATCGAGAACCGTCAAAGCATCTTCGACAATTATGCTGCGGGCTCTTCCACACGCAGGGTGGTTGTTGACCCATTGTAGAAGGAAAGGAGGTGACCCCACTGCGTATGATATGAGAAGCGGTCGAAAGTACAATGGCAAAGTTGCAAATGTTTGGTGAGAGAGTGCCGGCAAAGGTTCGTGGACGGAATGGAGAGGATAGATTCGAAGTTGGGCGCTGGCTTGGGAAAACAGACCGCGCAACAAACAAAGGTCTTCGACGGACGCGGACAATTCGACAGCTCCCAACACCGTTTGAAGGTGTTTGTGAAAGTGTGGCCTTGGAGCATTAAGGTGTGACAGTTCCATTGCCGCCAGATATGTCAGCAGAGCTCAGAGCGGAAGAGAAAGCAGAAGCAAAGCGTGAGAGAGAAGCAAAGAAGAGAAAACCAAACTTGCCACTTGAAGCAGCAATGGAAGATTTCGAAAGAGAGCGAGTTCGCCAGAGGCAGGCAGGGGTTGGTGGTGAAGCTGCAGAGCTTCCAAGTTCAGGCGAAGAGTACACACTTAGCAACGCAAGCAAGAAGGCTTTTGAGGTGACCAAGGCCCAATACACGATCCAGAAGACTCCGCAGGAGAGAAAAGAAGAGAAGGAGGAGAACGTGTTGAAGTAGGCCCAGAGCAGCTGGCAAAAGTTGAGGATGAAGGAACAAAAGAAGAAGTTGAGAGATTGGTGAGCATGGGGGTTCTTCGACAGCCAGAAGGAGGAGAGGTGCTTCAAGAGATTCCATTGCTCACGACGAAGCTTGCGATGGATTGGAGGTGGAGAGAAAAGAGGTGGAAAAGATAGACGAGAAAGACTCGTTGCCCGAGATTTTGCCTGAGGAGATCCTAACAGAACAGAACAGATATTTTCGCTCCAGCAGGTGGGCAGTTATTGTTGCGGTTGATTCCAGCCATACGCCAAGTCAAAGGTTGGAGAATGTTGACAATGGATGTGAAAGATGAATACTTGATGTGTCCACAACCTCGTGCGGTGAAGGTTTCCTTGGGAAAGACATTGGCAGAGCGGCTCAACTTGCCCGAGGAGTGGGTTCTTGGTAAGGTGTTGCCAGGACGACGCGAAGGTGTGGCTTTAGGAGTTGAAGGCGAAAGAAAGCTGGATTGGTGCATATTGGTGCCATATCCAGAAGCCCCGACATTGTGGAGAGGCGATGGAATCATTCTGCTGGTCCATGTCGGTGACGTGATGGAGAAAGTGAGCATTGGCCAGGACAGTTGGCTTGTCAAACGGCACCTCAAAGTGGCAAGTCAAAGACGAAAGGCAAGAAGAAATGAATGGCGAGAGCAGCTTGGACGGCGCTGCATGGAATTTAGAACTGGACGTTTCTTTGGAGTCAAATTGAGTAAGCCTACGAGCCGAAGCAATTTCTCCTTGTGAAGATGGCAGCCATGACACATGTCGAAAAGGCAAGGGTGTCAACCGGTTGTGCATTTGAACTACATGTATCTTCACCTGTACAAGGCTCAAACTTTGAGGACGCGGAAAAAGTAAAGTATATATGTATATATATATAATATATATTATTCTATATACATGTTCATTGGATTGTTGTATATGAATTTTTTGTTTCTTTGAGGCGAGGCGGGCGCCCCGAAGCGGGAGGCCAGAAAATCAACGTTTGCTGCACAAACTGTTTGTGCGGTTTGTCTAGCGCTGCAGGCCCCAGCAGCTCGCCCAACGGGCCAGCCTGCTTGTACGAAAAAACATGACCCTGCTCAGTTGGACTTTTCGAATTCCGACTTCAGCTTTGGTCTCACTGTAGGGTGGTCCTTTGGACAATTTTGGCGAAACATGAAAAACGTGATTAGATTTTTTCTCAAACTGGTTTTTAGTTTTCGTTTGAACTCGTCTAGCGATTGCTTTGGTCGTTCCGACCGGGTCACCGACGACTTCGGCCAAACCGAGAAGTCGGCGCGAGCGAAGCCTCGTGAGAGCACATGAAAGCGCTTTTCAAAGTGTCGCAGCTCCGATTTTATCAGAAAAAATTGACAAATCATTTTTTCTTCATTTTTGTCTCGCATTTTGTCGCCCAAAACCACTGGTCAGTTCTGAACATGAAAGAGATTGGAGGACCAATGTGACTTGATTAAGACTTGTTGCAGGGTCAGGGTCAAGTGTGCATTTGGTCAACCGACATGTTTCTCTGAATGTGTTCTTGTCGACCATGATGTTGAACCAAAAAATACATGTTTCCAAGGGATATGATATAAGGTTGGACACCATCGCTATTTGGTTGGAAACCAAGTAGGTTGGAGGCCATCGCTAGTAGGTTGGAGTTAGTATAGTATAGTGTTAACGTGTAGAAAAAAACATATATTGGGGCAACAAAAACGTTGTTTGAGGGGTGAGCTCTGAGCTTACAGAGCCCAATGCAACAACATGAACACTTAAAACGACCACAACCAACACAAAGCTACAGCTCAATAGGTCAAATGGGGGTTGGGGCAACCGTGGGCCCGGATTTATGCAATGAAGTACAAACCAGTCTGAGGGTATGAAACATGTTCAAGGAAAAATAGGGTACAACAACTCAATATTGTTTTTTTTTTCAATCATACGACGATGTTATTGGTCCATGTTGTTTTCATCGCAAAAAAACTACGTACCCTGGTGTCGGAAAAAGGCAGTCCATTCTTCTTGCCGCATGAGCTATCCCCAAGGAGACTGTTGCCATCAATGTTTGCTGTAATTGTATCGAACGGAGTGGCTGTATATAATATATAATACATATAGACTATCCAATGCAGTTATTGTACAACATAACTGTGTGTCACTTTGTACAGTTGGACACAAACAGAAGACATTAGGGAAGAGATTCGGAAGAGAGGAAACGCTGGTTTGGAACACAAACGTTGAACATATGCGAAGAACATGTGACCATGAACGGATTGATGTCAAGAATCAGTATATAGGGGCTCCTGGCATCGCTACGAACGCAATCTTACTTCGTCACCAGTTTGTCTTGTGCTCTCGGACGTGGGCCCGAGCGGGATGCGGTTTCTCGTCGAGTGCTGTCTCGCACCGCACAGTACTCACGGCACTCAATCGCGAAAAGTCTTGACCAAAGAGAAAACGAAAAGAAACGAGTGAAATAAACACAAAAAAATGTTATTTTTCACTCATGTTGGTCACAGACGGTTAAGGTCAAGACTTCTTGCCACGGGAACTCAAAAAGAATCTCGCTTTACCAAAGCGGCGCTTTTGTTGAAACCGTTTCAACATGTGTCACACACTGAACGTCCGTTTGTGCTTCATTCGCGTTAGAGAGCTTCTTTGGACCGTTCTTTGCGCTTGGAGTGGTATTCTTGACGGTTCTTCTCTCAGGATATGGCTCAACGGCTATGAATTCATGGAATATCTGGAAGATGTCGGAAAATACGACTAGAAACAACGACTTTAGACAACGGAGCCAGCTACAACTTACCAAACAGCTTTTCCCAATTTGTGAATGAGCAAGCGGAAAGGAAAAGGAGAAAACGAGATGAAACGAGAAGCGACGCATAGCGACGCATTGTGCCATGCTTGACGTTTGACGCATTGTGACGCCATGACCAAATGTCTCGTTCTAAGGCACGAGACAAGCGAGACACATTTAGTCAAAAGACTCATAGTCCAATGACCCATTTCCATCCATTTCCTTTCCCACATCGATTGTGTTTTCTTTAGCCCGCCCTTGCTGAATTAATTTAGGCTCCTACTTAAGTAAGGGAGCAGTTCGCTCCTAGCTGAGACGCAGATATGACAGGATAGCCCATGCGCACTGATTGGCTTGTTGAAACAGTTCGACAATGCACCGGCTGTTCAGGCCACAGAGAGGAACGAAGCATGGAGAACGCTTGGGAGCCCAGAAGGCCGAAGGAGGCCGAAGGCAACCCTAGTAGCTTCTTGCTCCTAGTAGTAAGGCACTTGTTTCTAATAGCTTCTTGTTACTACAAGTAAGGCACTTGTTACTAGAAGCGAGGCACTTGTTTCTAATAGCAAACATTGTTACTACAAGTAAGGCACTTGTTGCCCCTAGTAGCGTGGCACTGAAAACGACATCTGGAGACGAAGACGCACCGAAGACACACGGCGCGGCGCTTGCCTTGCGCGCCACCAAGACATATGCATTTTGTTTGTCTGACATCATATGTTTTGCTAGTAACAAGTGCCTCGCTAGTAGTAACAAGTGCCTTACTAGTAGTAACAATGTTTGCTATTAATTAGAATTCTATTTAAATTCTTATTGTTACTACTAGCGAGGCACCTGTTACTAGTAGCGTGGCACTTGTTACTAGCAATTCTTAACGACATCTGGAGACGATTGTGACATCATGTGACCATGTGTGTTTGTATGGTGTATGCATATGCTCGGTGTGTGCATTCTTTAGTAGTTCCGTGCGACCCAACCAGCATGGTTTCGCACAATGCCACAACACAAGCACTCTCCTTAAGTGCAGATGGGTTTGATACAAGTATCATCGCACGGGAGTTGCGGGGAACCTCTTGATGTGGGATCCATGATGTTCCAAGGCCAACCTGGTGCAAGGTGCGCTCTCTTCACACTCTCCTGCCACAATCTTAAGGTTCAGACAGCCGTGCACTTCGTTTTGGCGGTTCAAAGCGTGTCTTCATGTTCCTTCCTTAGGTATCAACGCTTTGAACTTTGCAGATCGCTACGTGTACGGAGACTTAGACCAAACAACAAAGGATCGCACAAAACATGCGAAGCCAGAATTTGCTAATTAGCACTGCGGGAAGGTCAGATACTTGCTAGTTTGCACTGAGTACTTGGTGACAGATCAAGATATCAGATCTCAAACATGCAATCTGAGGCCAGCTGCGGTGAAGACTTCTATGGAGAAGGAACGGATGAACGCGACATCGATCAATATCTGGCTTTCTGTGGCCTTACGCTTTGAAACAGTGGGGATAACTCCAAAACACCCGGAATTGTGTTGATTTCAGGACCTTCAAATCAATGACTGGCAAAGCGCTCTGCCTTCCATGGCCATGACTGCAGCCTGGGGATTAGAGCTTTTTCTGTGTTGATCCCACAAAATTGTAAACAAATGATCGAAAGCTCGAGGTCTTCACGGTGGCTTCCTTAATCTTTGGTTTCCTGGCGGATCGGGAGATCCTGGATCGAAGGTGCCGAGCTAGGACGCTACGAACGGAGCAAAGGGCATCGCTACTAGGAGCAAGGGCCTTACTAGTAACAAGAATTAGAATAAAATTCAAAGTCAGAATGTCTTTCTCCATTTTTCTCCCCCTCCTCGACAGGATCATCCTGGCCTCCGGTATTGCTTTCTGGTCGTTTGCCACGGCTTTGGCCGGATTTGCGCAGGAGACGATCAAAACGAAATTGTTCTTCAGGCGAAAACATTAGAAACAATGATGTTTGCTTCACATGTTAGACACCTTTTGAAACCTTCCTTTCCGTTCATCCTTTTGGGCTTCCGGGACGCGTTGGATCGAGAAATCGCGTGAGCTCCAGGACTTGATCCAGCTGGTGGTCTTCCGTGCACTGGTGGGAGTCGGAGAGGCCGAACCTCCAGTGCCTTCAAATAGCTTCTTGTTGCTACTAGTAAGGCACTTGTTACTAGTAGCGATGCACTTGTCTCTACTAGCTTCCTGTTACTACAAGTAAGGCACTTGTTTCAAGTCGCCGTTTTTGCTGATTTCCTGAAGTCGCCTTGTTTCACTTGCGAGGCGGCCTTTGCAACGATTGCCTCACCCATGATCGCTGATTTCTACCCAGGAAGAAAACATGTATCGATCCTGGGACCGAGAGGAAACAACGAAAGGAACGACGAGGAACGAGACACTCGAAATCCCACAGGACCTCAGCGAAATCGCGCTTACACAATATTTGGTCTCAGCCTGGGCAGCCCAGCATAGCTCACTTTAATTAGCCATTTTTGCTTTCTTAGATGGCCTCTCTTGGTGCTTAAAATAGAACCGAAGAACGCTGACAGATGGTTTAAGTGGCTTAAGATATGATTGGAACATGCAAATCCATTGGCAGTGCAAAATCAGCCTCCAAAAATCTTGCAGACTGGCAGGCAGACTGCGAACAATCGTAACTGCCTGTCGCTTTGGGACGTTTGACGTTGAAAACGGCTGTCAAGTTTCGATCTCACCTTTTTCCTTCGTACCACCGATCCTTGTGTCCTGTTCACACCTCGACCTTTCCGCACCTTCGGGTGATCCAACCCGTCCAACATGCCGTCCACAACGCATGACTGGCGATTCTGGCACTTCTCATAGTGCTGTGTTCCCCGCAAGCCAAAGTGAGTGGCGTTCCACGGCATTCCCACTGAAATTGAAGTGAAGCAACTCAGATCATCTTGAAACAATGTTTTTACGAAAGCCAGCCGACAGGCTAGGCTTGAGCTTATAGACCGAACGAAGTGAGTTAAGGGGGTGTGGGTGGGGGTAGGAGGCGAAAAGGCACCATTTGAGAGGGTGAACCCGGAGCTTGCCTGGGGAGAGCGCTCCAAAGCGAGGGTCAGAAAAGCAGTGAAAATTGGGTCTGGTGATGCGAGTGATGCAATGGACGCTGAGTAGTGCATCATTAGCAGCACGAAGGGCTGTGGAGGCTATTTGGAATGTACAGAACAACCATCCTAGTCCCTACTATACTTGAGAAGTCTGATGTATTGGGGCCAGTATGGTAGTTGGTTGGCAGCGACAAGTTGCTATCAGAAAAGGGGCCCGTGTAGATAGCAACTTCGTGGGGTGAAGAGATTGGTGTGGCGACACTCATGTTGAAGCATACAGTGCCTCCCATCGTCCTAGTAAGCATGTGTTACTTAGATGGTTTCTTCTTTTGACCCTCTCGCCTGGCGGCTGCTGGCTTTCGCATCCCCCCTTCTCAGGTAATGTTCTTCCCCAACAGCGAAGCTAGGGGTCTTCTGCCATAGTAAAGGCTTCGGAGCAGATTCGGAGCAGGCTCCGCAAAGGTTCCGGAGGAGGTTCACTGTGGGGCCTGTGAAGTTGGCCTTGAGCTGTTGTTTCATTTATTATCTATTATACTCTTGGCTTCGTGCTTCGCCTTTCGGAGGAAAGCATCTGACAGACGGATGGATCAGATCGGATGGATCTCTTCGTCCCTCGGATGGACGCGGCGAGACCCAGACTCCTCATGCTGCATGCCGCATGCTGCCGCATGCTGCATGCTCTTCATGTTCATCCTTTCCAATTTTTTTTGCCACCATTCCACATCCCGATCTTTTCCAAAAGCCAAGAGGACTTCCCCAACACTGCCGTCACTAACGAAGGCCCTTAGCACACGGCAGAGCGTTTGGCCGGCGCAAAGCATACCTTTCAATTGTGCCACCTTTTTGTTGCCCCAAAAAACGGATTCCCCAAGATCCAACCTGTCCGAAAAAAGGGCCGCCAACTGCAAGCGTGTGTCCAGGTGCAGCCTTGCAAATCACTTGTTGACACCCCTTTGCATGCCAAACGGGCACTGAACAAAGAAACAAAATGGGTAAAGCTGTACCAAACTGTGATGTTTGTTTCCAAGTATGCCCACCAGACCACTTAGGTGCCCCAGTGGGCGCAGCCATCGGATTTGGTTTCGCTCCAAGAACGAAGCAGAGGTGGAGACACTGGCTCTCAAGGATTTTTATTCGCGTTTTTGAGGCATTGGCTCCATGCTGGGTGCCCACCTCGGCCCCTTGGCACCGGTCGGAGTTTTCCTACTAAACACGTCTTAGGACCTAGACCATCTGCAACCGCGAACCGTATGCTGAGGTTGGAGATATGCCTTTTTCGTGTGTGGCTTCCCTGGTGTCATGGTCGTCGGAGGGCTCGGAAGTTCAATGACAGAACCAGTGAGAGCGAACCAGAAATAAGTTCTTTTTTGTTTTATATATATATATACATTTATTATCAAAACTTTGTTAGACTTATAGTTATATACTTATTATACCTATTTGTGGAGAATTTCAAGGCATTTCATGTCGTTGCAGTTTTCACCTGACCGCGCTCCAGAGAAAAGCCCGACAATGAGAACTTCTCGCAGAACAAGAAAGAGATCGTGACGTGTTTTGAACACATCGAGAAGATCCTCAAAGTCAACTTCACAGATCACGACGAGGTGATTGTCAAAAGAGATCAAGCCGAAAGCGAGAAGAAGAGAGCGAAGAATGCGAAAGATGACGACGAGGATGTCGAGATGGAGGATATCGACCTGCCCGAGGAGACTACACCTGGGCGAGGAGTCACAGACCCCTCCATCCGAAGAACAACCAAAGTCGAAATCATCGAGCAGCAACGATGACTATAGAAAGCCGTCGAATCCATGAAACGTTCATTTGACAACGCCACTATCATTAAAAGATTTGATGAACCTGTGGACATGTGTTCAATCGTTGACGATGTGGAAGGAGGTGTCACTTGAGGGTATGTTGACGAAGGCGCAATCAGTGGGCTCCAAACTTCTGAAAGTGGCAGGATCTGAAAGACGATTCAAAGCAAGTGCACAAACAAGCGTATCATCGACAGATTCAGTTGGATTGCGATCGAGGCAACATTGAGATCATTCCGCGACATGGTGCAACCTTTTGCATCAGAAAGTGGAACGGTGAGGAAGATCGAGCTGGAAGGTTCATCGATCCACCTGTCCACAGGAACACCGACGAGTACGCCGCCACGGTCGATGGAATCAGCAGAAGACTCAACAGTCCTGAGACATCAAACCGGGAAGGCGGAGGTGATCGGACTGTCAGGTAAACACCATGAAATCCTTCCGTGCAACGAAGGAGGATGGGTGAACGTCAATGATGTGTACGGCCACATCTTCAATGACAACAGCAATCGAATAGTCAGAGAAGCAGAGCATGGAAACTATCTGGATGTGGTTCTTGCTACACGGTACCGCCGGTGTTGCCAAGCCATGTGGTACTCAAAGAAGATGCAAAATCGAGCCAGATTCCAGAATGCCGCGGTCCGTATTTCGATCAGTGCATGATGTCATGAAGGAGGAACAGAGAGAATACTGGTGCCGAATGATATGAGATGTTACAGGGAAAATGACAGATGGCTGCTTCCAGTAGCAATGAGGGCAGTATCGTCGCACAACCTGGAGTCGAGACACAGCGACAGGGATGAGAACGACGTCGCCCTCGACCCACGTCTCACTTCACATGAGATCGCAGACTCCATCGCAATGCAGCTTGGGGGAAGCTTCCGTGTGACAACTCTTGGGAAGATACCATCGATAATTAATGAAGCATGGAACCCTACCAGGTGGAGACAAAGGCAAGTTCATTCTTCAACCGTGGGATACGAGATCATCTACACTGTTTGAGGTCAAAAGTCCCTACGGATGATGTTCCAATAGCTCTGTACGTACCTATTTCATACCTACAACGTCTCGGTGCACGCCTTGCCGAAAGTTCATATGTTGTTATGTTCAGAGGAGTGCCATGGGAGAGCGTCAAAGGTGCATGGTACAAAGAGCCAATCAGAGGGAAATGGCAAAGACTGTTGGCAAAAGGGGTTACTAAGACTAACCACCTCATCGCAGCGGCAACCCATTCAAACAAGATCGCAACGAAAGACCAAATCATCGAAAGGGCAAGAGAAATTGTCGCCGAACGCGCGAGGAGGGATGATAACATCCGCAAGCTCGATGACATTGTCAATGATTGTGATATCAAGAGGACAAAACAAGAGCCGTGGAATGTGATCATCGCCAGAACTTGTGAAGGCTACAGCAGCATTGATGGAAACATCCTATTTGCCCTGCACGCATGAACGTGACACCGAACATCTTCACTCTACGCCTACATTGTCACGGACGATTTCACAGTTGCGGAATCAGAAACACAGTCTCCACAAGTGACGACGATGATGAGGTGGAAAAGGGAGATGATGTTGAGATGGAGCAGGTGAACGACCCCGACAAGGAAGAGCAAGATGTCATCGACAAAGTGAAGATGGACGAGGTGAAGACTGCACTACAGTCTCAGATCGAGCCTGACGATGATGAAGAAGAAATCAGCCAAGAGCACATCGAGGACCTCAAGAAGAAGAGCTCAGAATCGAGAAAGGAAGAGAGTCAAGAAATATCCACTCCATCCTATGACGCCGACGAAGTCGACTACGAACGTGATTCACAAGCTCCAGAGATGATGAGCTAGAAGCTATCAACAGAAGCACCGCTGAGTTCACTGGATCGTCAGACAAGGTGATTGAGGAAGTTGAGACAGAAGATCAGGAGATCAGGTTCAATAGTGGAAGAACCGATGATGAGGACTACGAGAATGCTGGACCGAGACCCTTCAACCGTGAATACCTCGCCAACCACGAACTTCCAAAATGGTGTAGATATCCAGAGCCAGTACCATTCGACTCGCAAGATGAAGCTGGGTGCCAAGATACGGGAAAGGGATCATCAGGACTCATGGACAGATATGTCATACGATGTATGTCCCAATTGATCAAGCCCATGTACACTTCGTATCACCAAACCGGCATTGCCAGGTTCCGTGAACTTTTCTTGAAGAAGAGATTGGATGTCACGTCAGAATTCACCAAAGGAGTTTCCAACGGATTTGATGAGGACGATTTGCCCAAAGATCCAACGGAACAGCAAACGCAAGCTTTTGCAGACTCGAAAGGAATCACTCCAGTTGAAGCATGGCGCATGTTGTGAGGAGAACAATTCATTGGGATATTTGCATTAATTACAAAATATTGCACTTGGATACACGCCCGCAACCTTCAAAGAAGAATTTTGTGAAACTGAACTGTCCAATCTATAGTGGAATCAAGAAAGAGATCCAAGCAAGATGCCATGTCAAGAATGGTCAGAAAGTGCGTGAACGCAATCTTCAACGTCGCGACCTACTCATATTTCCGAGATGACCTGAACGACAGTGACGCGCGCAAGGGCATCAAACCGTTGGACATCATGTATTCAAGGCCTCTCAACAAATGGGACAGAGTAATGCTTCTGGTGATGGACCAAGCAAAGGTTATTATTTTGGAAGCAAGACCCATCATCAGGACAAAAGAGCATTTGAGCGTTGGCGTAGCCTGCTAGAGAAAGATCAAGTAGAGAGGCTGATGGACAAGCGTCAAGAATATGTCGTGGAAGGGAAATGGAAACCCAACTACCCTAGCTTCGCACCTGAACTTGAGCGACCACCATCCGAAGCAGCTTCATCAAGCCATCGTGCTCCAGCGCAAGAAGGACATGATCGAAAAGGAAAAGAAAGAGGGAAGATCTATGGTCATGCAGCAGGTCGACGAACATGGGAACAGATGAACAACTATGTTTGTGAGTGGCAGCCGCAGACTTCAGATCCAGGCATTTATGCTGCAAAGTTCCGAGACGGCTATTGGACCGATCCTAGACTTCGACAAGATCCTGGTCACTGAACAAATCGTGAATGGAACAATGCCAACTCGACGGCGCATCGAGAAGCCGAATGGATCGAACGCAGACCTCGAGTCATCAGAACCACCCAGCGAAGTTGGCGAGATTGGCATGGTGACCAAGAGGAAGAACATCATGATGATGTTGAATATACAGGAGAAGAAGGAGAAAATTATACCTGACACAAGGCAAAGTCAACGTACTGCGTGTGACACCTTGAAGAGCATGTTCAGCGTACTCGCGCATGAACCTCTGTTGAACAAGGTCAGTGCACGTCGCTTGACCCTTGAAAGTCGTAAGAGTATCTGCATGTGAACTCTCTAGAATCGAAAAGATGCAAAGCTCAATCTACATCGTGACGAAGATCTACTGAGTGGAATCTAAGCGAGGCAACTTTCACTGTTTCACGAATTAACTTGTATAGCCAAGAGGTTGAAGTGCACGCTGTATACGTAAAAGACCGCTTAGTTTCAACAGTGCTGTGTAGTTAGAGTCTACTTTGATAGGTCTTGCGGCAAATTATAGCGAACCACTGTACATAGTCCACTACCCTTGAATTTCAAGTGTGACCATTGCTGACATGGGGGGTGTCAATAGCAGTGGGACGACAGCGTACCATATGCATGTACAGAATGCACTAGCGTGTCACGCCTACATTTGGCTCAAGACTCCCGTAGAGAAAGCGGAAAACAAGTGCGCGCCATCGCTGTCTACGAGGGAGAGGATAGTCTACCTACACTTCACGTTGGGCATATTACTTTTTACATGCAATATCAAATGCTGCTAGATGAAATAGAAACAACAAGAGGACCAAGAAACCCAGAAGACGCAGCAGCTGAAGACTCAAGGAACCCCGTTCCTTGGAGGAGAGGAAGAAAATCAACCAAACTATGAAGGAAACTGTGGACTATGGCAGCAGAGTGAGCTAAAATAGCTGATGTTCGCTCACACTACCGAGAAGGAGTGTCAAGAATTCTCAAGGTAGACCAGAGGTAGTTTGCCAAGCATGCCATCACAGTTTTCACCTGACCGCAGGCCTTTTGCATTCAGAGAAAAGCTCGCATTGTTATATGTTTAGCTTCTGTTTAGGTTATTTCTTTTCTACTCTGTTCAACATGTTCTTTTCGATCGTTATCTTTTTATAATCGTTTTCTTGAATCGTCTTGAATCGTCTTAAACCCTGTCCATTGCATGCTTGTATCTAGCTTGCTTGCTACCAAGGAAAGAGCACGTGGGAACGTGGACCACGCCATTTTGTCTTTTCGTCGCGCTCAGGCCTTTTCTGTGTTAGTCCTCAACGTGTGGAGCCCGAGGATAGTGACGGGAGATGGGCGAAAACGCAATCGAAGTCACTTTGGACTGATATCGCCCCACTCGGAAAGCAGATTCATGGGCCGCTCGGAAGAAGTTGGAAAAGAAGTTATGCCGGCAAGAGACCCCAAACAGAGTGGGCGTGAGGTGTAGAGGTGTAGCAGTAGAAAGTCTAGAGATCTAGACACATTGGGGTCCAGAGAGGTGATGGTGGTGATGAAGTTGGTGGAGATCGTGGTGACCGGCGGCGGCGGTGGTGGTGATGGTGGTGATGATGGCGGTCATGGTGATGATGGCCGTGATGATGGCGGTCATGGTGGCGATGGTCGCGATGATGGTGGGGGAAGAGTCACGATTCGTTGCCTGTCACGTACTGTGTGGGTCGTTTAGTTATGTTACCTCTAACTTAGTTAGGGTAGAAAAAGTAAGTTGTAACTAATTTATAAGTTTTACTTATAATTTCTTTACAAGTTAGTTATATCTAATTTATAACTAGATCTAACTAGAGGTAACTAGTTATACTTTTTCAAGGATTCATATAATTTAGTCGCTCTCTTTTTCTCTCGTCGCATCTGTTCATGCCAACGTGGCTGCTCCGTCCAAACGGCGCCATGACATTGTCTGAGTTGCGGTTCAGATAGAACCCCAGGCCGTGGTCTGCTCCAAGGTCAACCTCTGCACGGAACAGACATATGCTTTCCACGGAAATATGTACTCTAGGGGCCGACAAAGGGCCGACATGGGAAACCTAACGTGTGGGGGTCCCACTATTGTAATATATAAGGCCGACATGCCTTCAGGGGATGTCTGGGGGGGAGGGGCCGACAAAGGGCCGACGTCAGAAACGTAGCAAAACCTCGTTCCATGTACAAGTATATCGGGGCACATGTCTACCTCTAGTTTTGTTTATATATACCCCAACCCGCCCGCCCGGTCCCAGGCATTCCGCGGACATGGTCGCTGTCGCGGATCTGCTCTAGCCAAAAACTACAATTATCCAAATTATATATACGTTAGATAGAAACTATACTAAAACGACTTTACTAACTAGTTGTAACTTTAATATAAGTAGTTCTAACTAGTTCTAACTAAGATATATCTTATATATAACTAATTTGGGTGAAATTACGGGTTACTTATATCTAACTTCTTCAAGAGTAAGTTACTTATAACTAACTCAAAAACCATAGTATATAGCTACACGTACTTATTCTCACTTATTGAACTACAAGTTAAGTTGTGGAACTACAAGTTAACTTGTAGTTCATTAACTAAAATTATAAGTCGTCTAACTAAAACAACCCACACAGTATTAGAGCGCGCCGAAGATCACCTCCATATATCCAAACTGCTGCGCCTGCCACGAAATCTGCGCATCGAAGCAACACCGCTCCGATCCCCTTTGCGCTTGTCGCGAAAAGTCGAAATTTGGACTACCAAAGCATGAGGTTTCCCTTGCGCGTGCCACAAAAAGTGCCCGCCATGTCCGAAAATGCGCGCGGCGCCACTACGAGACCGCAGTTGCGACAAGCGCCCGCCGCGGCCAACCAGATTTTGCGAGCCTAGGCAGTCGAAATGCATTTCGGGCATTTTGAGAGGCATGAATGATTCATCGCGAATGTATTGTAAAAAGCGACGAATTAGCCAAACGCCCCGATGCAACACCTCAATTTAACACCAGTCCTTTCCCCCACAGGGTTTTCACATGTGACCACACTTTTTGTGAAAAACGAAACGAGCTCTACTTCTAGATTTGCATTTGCAGCAGCAAGGGTCGGAAGGCTGCAGAGATCTAGATCTCTAGATCTAGGTCGCGAGGCCCAGAGGTCTAGCGCCTGAGCGTCCGAAAGCCAATCGCAGGATTGCTTGTTTTCAGATAGGTTCTGGTGGGTATATTTTGACCCATCGCAAAATCACTTTGAAAACCCATCGCCGAAACCTATATCTTGAGGCCTTAAAAACCATCCCCGAAGGTAGTATTGAAAAACTGAAAAAACCTATCCCAAGAACCTATCTTGGATAGCAAAACTTGGTATTGAACCCAACTAGTTTCTATTATTGAATGGTTCCTACAAGCGGTTTGCATGGGTATCCTTTTCAAAATCTTTTTATTTTTGCTGGGTCTGCGTGGCTCTGTTTCAAGCCCCCAAGCCTTTCAATAAGCCATCGAAATGGGCATGGCTCTGTTTCAAAAATCAAACAAAGTCGTTGATCCTCAACTGGCACCCAAGAATGTATTTTGACAGAAGGAATCTGTACGCTTTTTGGTCCTGGTCTCTGCAGCTATGCGCCAAAGTGGCTATCTCATAAGTCCAAAAAGGCCTTGGGTGTTGCCACTTGGCCAAATGGGCCAAGTGATAAAAGAAGTGGCAACTTAGGTGTCAGCTGCCACCTCAAGCCACCATTAATGGCTGTTTTCAGCCATGCGTAACGCTAGAGGCATTTCCTGGCTTTGTTGCGAGCCTCCATGGCCACCTCATTTATCAAAAGACATCGGCTTCTGCCAAGATATCATAAAAGCAAGCCAGTGAACTGAGGGCCTTTGCAATGTGCAGTGCTACCTGTGTTTCGTTGGCTTTGCCCAATTGCTGGGGTGCCTGTGGCTGGGCTTGCTGGTGGGCTCCAGGCTGCTGAGGCTGCACTGGGCGCTGTCCTTGCCCTTGGCCTGCCAATTGCTGGGGTGCCTCACTGGCTGCTGTCCTTGCCCTTGGCCTGCCAATTCCTGGAGCGCCTGTGGCTGGACTTGCTGGTGAACTCCAGGCTGCTGTGGCTGCACTGGGTGCTGTCCCTGCCCTGCCAATTGGTGGGGTGCATGTGGCTGGACTTGCTGGTGAACTCCAGGCTGTCCTTGCCCTTGCCCTGCCAGTTGCTGGAGTGCCTGGGCTGGGCTTGCCAAAGTGACTGCTGGGCGCTTGGCTTTCTTACACTGCAAGGACAGGCGTCAAGTGTCTGAGCTCTGCAGCCCTACCTATCAACAAACTTATTGATGGTAATGTTTGTAATGTTTGTGAACCTTTCTGCAATTCTCAAGGTCTTGTAACCTTCAGAGATCCCTGACCACGCTTGAAACATGTGGTGGGGGCATTTCTTTTGTTGCCAACCACCACATATGACCACACGCGAAGTTCTTGCAGCCACACCCAGATCGACTGTGTGCAGCGTGTCAATTGCAACCCTGTATTGCTGCACACACCCCGGGGTCTTGGTGGGTTTGAAGGCTGGCTCTCTTTCGAACCTTTGGGTGTCAGCAGTTGCCAATTGGACTATCTTGAAAGTCCAAAGGAGATCGGTTTCTCAAGTTTCTATTGCAATTGCAAACCCGACAGAAATCAGGCTTGTTCCAATGTGGCAAACCCAGCAGATTTGCAAAGTATTCTAAATCTCCTTGGTATTGCCAAACCAAGAATGAATGGCCTCCCTCAATGATTGGCAAACTTGCCATCTTCTGGAACTGAGGTGGCAATGGCTCATTCTCAAGCCACCATGCGCTGGGATTTGTTCCATGGAACAATGCTTGAAAACTCCACGCTAAAATTTGCTAAACATGTTGCCAGGTGTTTTTCAATTGCTCTCTCTCTTTGGAAAATGCAGCCGAGCAGAAAGCATGGTCCACGACTTGGCTTTGCTTCAAGCCACTTGAAGCAGGAGAACAGAGACAAGGACCAAATGAAAATGTGAGGGGTGAGTCTGTGAAGAACTCAACCCCATCACCATGCAGCCACAAAAGGATTGCATGGTTCTCTGCATGCATTTCTGGCTTGGTCTAAATCGATTGGGCCGCCAACGAGCGTGGGTCATCTGGCTGCACACCTGCCCAAAATTGGTGGACCTTGTCCAACCCCAAACAAGTGAGCAGCCAGGGCAGGCAGCTGTCAAAGACAGAAGCTACCCAGAGATGTGGAAGGAAGAAATTCAAGTCCACCATGGTTTCAGGCTGATCCTCTTTTGAATCTAAGGCAGGAACCTTGATTCGAAAAGATGGGCTCTCTTTCAAGCCACGCAACCTCCCCTGATTTATCTTTCTGGTTAGAAGCCTGTGGTGGTGGTGGTGGATGGTGGTGATCAGGGTTCGGACTGAGAAAGGTCCACGCGCGCCACGAAATCTGCACTTCAAGGTCCACGAGGCACTGCGCCTACCGCGAAATCCGCACTTCAAGGATCACAAAGTGTTGCGCCACTCATTTCGAGGTTCACACAGTATTGCGCCTGCTACGATAATCTGCGCTTCAAGGTCCACAAAGTACTGCGTCTGCCACGAAATCTGCAGCTTGAGGTTCACAATGTGCTGCGCCTGCCACGCAATCTGCACTTCAAGGTCCGCAAAGTGCTGCTCTTGCCACGAAATCTGGAGTTCGAGCGCTGCGCCTGCCACGAACTCTGCACTTTGAAGTTCCTCAGTGCTTTGAGGTTCACAAACCGCTGCGCCTGCTACGAAATCTACACTTCAAGATTCACCTGCAGCGGCCCTGCAACTGCGTTTCGTTGCAAGAACGCTTCCAACGACACCATCCAGATACCAAAACGCAGCTTTCGCGCGAGACAATTCACTGCACTGTCACGAAATTTGAGCGCATCGAAGGTCTCCACCGTGTCCAAAGTGCTGCGCCTGCCACGAAATCTGCATTTCGAAGTATAACACCACAGAAAGTTGAAATTTGGACCGCCAAAGCACGAGGTTTCCCTTGTGCTTGCCACGAAAAGTGATCACCATATCCGAAAATGACCACTATGAGAGCGCAGTCGTGCCAAGCGCCCGCCGCGGCCAACCAGTTTTTTTTTGCGAGCCTGCGCAGTCGAAATGCACTTCGAGGATTTCGAGAGGCATGATCGTACTGTAAATAGCAACGAATTAGCCAAACGCCCCGATGCAACATATCGATTTTCCACCGGTCCTTTCCCCTTACCGTAAGAAACAGATAGTGTGACCACACTGCTTGGGGAAAAACATCCAAGACCTCTCTTCTTACAGTCTTGTTGGTGAATGCGACAACATGTCTTCCCATTGTTTGGATCTCCATCAAAGAACATATTGATTACTCGTCGGGCAAGTTAGAGAGCATTCTGCAAGTTGCAGTCTTGATAGTGAAAAGGCCAACCCGAATCAACGCACACAAAAAGATGTGAACAAATTAGTCTTTAGCGTTTTGACGAACACGCATCGCTACTAGTAGTAGAAAGAAGCTAGTAAAGTGCCAAATTCAGTATTTGTTCTTAGAAAAAATGGAGCCTGTTGCGGTCGGATGAAGCCGCGGGACGCAGCTCTGTTTTCGCGCCACTGGTGGCAGTGTGCAATGCCACCAGTGGCCGCTTCAGCCCTGTTGCCCTTCTCACAGAATTAAAAACATGTTATAAAACATGAGAGATGAGCCGGGTGGGCAGAGATACGGTGCTGAGGATCCCCCAATGGGCATCAATGACGACGCAGAGGCAAGACATTACGACCTGATTCAACACACACATTCGAATACTCATTCGCATCACTGGAATTGATTTATCAGACTGACAAAACAAAAAACACCATAAAACACCTTGGTGCCATAGCTGGTTTTCATGCTGGGTTTACTGGTCAGGACCCAATGCATTTGGAGGACAGTGACTGGGAATCAAAGCATGCAAATATGTGAGCTGTGTCGAAAGCAAACCGTTCGTTCAAAACGGTATATTTTGAGTCGATACCGTGGCGCCATGACAGGACAGCGAGTCCGACGAGGAGCACTCGGCGAGTCGAGTTGAGCTGGAAAGATGCTTTGAAAAAACGTTCGTTCGGTTTCGAGAAAGAAAAATAACGTCGAAACCAAATAAAGACTGTTCCATTGCCAACTCGCGCCAGTCCTCCGAATCGGACGCTCCAAAGCGCTGGTTCCAGGAGGAGACAAACAATTTGAGACAAACAATTTGCTCCAAAGCGCTCTTTTCTCCCGTCTTTGTGAGCCAACTTTTCCTCTTTTTCTCCTGAACTTGTTGTTTTCGACTCTCCTCGTCTCGCCAGGAAAAGCAGCTCTTGGGGAACGTTTATTTCTTCCTGGCCACGATGGGATCTGTGGCAATCCAATTTGCCCTGGGAGGCGGTTTCAATATTTTTGAAATACGCAAGTATAAGGTTTTTCATTGCCATTCGCAACGCTGTTCATCTCATCTCCATTTCCAAGTAGCTCCTTTAAAGCTGCTGTGAAGCTCTTCACACGTGCAGTTTCAATAACAAATCTTCACGCAATCGATGCCACACATCCCATGAATGCGGACACCATTGAAACATAACCGCTTTGAGTGGACACGACTTGTCATTGACATGTCATGAACGGTCAATTGTCATGTCTGTTCAAGACAACGGTCGAGAAGTTGCGCCGCCAAAAAAAGATGTCACCTAGTTGGAAGCGAACTAGAAGCCGCATATGGTTTCTTCGTGGAAGACATGTTTTTGGTCAGTAGGTCTGTGCATACGATGGAGACGGCTGTGACAAGAAATGAAGGAAACACATCGCATCAACAAATACTGGAAGACTTCTCCGCACTTTTTTTTCCTGTCTGTGTATCTCCGCTTCATGCTTCAATCGGGTCGGAAGGAAACGGGAGCGTGCCTGATCGCCTCGACCCGCTGGATCGGATCATTCGAATCGGACGCGCACCGAGCACGAGGAGCAAGGACTGCGACATGTCGCGCGAGGCCTCGCCTTCAAACCGAAGCGACATGTTTCAAACCATGTTCTTCAGCTCGCTCGGCCGAGCGGCCGAGATCGCCGTGTGGAGAAGTGTACGGAGACCACACGACGTGTGCACGTGTGCGCTTTTGGACAGCCGCTGCGGTGCTTCCCACAGGTCTTTTCTGTCGCTGGCGTCATCCTGAGGTGCTTCCCCACCTCGCTCACTTCTTTAATCTCAACACAGTGTGCAGAACTGAGCGAAGCTATGTTTGTTTCATGATATTTGCAGCATCTTCAACCGATGTTGGTTGAAGCGAGCTGATGTTGTTGCTGGATCATGGGACTCTTTTCTGTTTCTTGCACCCGGCCTCCTCAAATCAATCACTTCGCACAACTCGCGCATCAGCGCTCATTCATGCATACATACCACTCAGCTGCTTAATTAGACATGGCGCAGGAAATGGTGAAAACACCAGTAGAAGCACCCAAATGTTTCTCAGATGTCGCTGAGGGTCTCGGGGATGCTTCCCGACAGTGTGCCTACTTGCATCTTTTCGCTCCTCTCACCTTGTGTTCTTTCGGCACCGGTGTCATGCGCAAAATGTGACTTGTTTTGCTACGTGACTCAGTTCACTGACATGTTATGAGTGTTATGAGTCTTGTTAAAGTATCCCCGTTGACTGTGGAGGTCTCACAGAATGGTATCCCACATTCTTGGTTCGCTTCGCCGAGATGCCCGAGTCCATGCAACTTGGCAGGTTGCAAAGCTGGCCTCATGCCTCGTACGAGCGGAAGTGTCGGAAGCAGATTCCCACACCAAAACAGACATGTGTTTGTGGACCATTTTTTCGAAGAAATGTTCATTGCTTTAGTCATAGGGCCAACAAGCGCAAGAGGGGTGTGTCCCTGACCTCGCACATCCTTGCACTCCCGACTCGTCGACAATTTCAACCTCCATGTGCACAGGGTCGTTTCTGATCGAAACGAACACTTTCAAGCAAGGCTACAGGAAACAACCAGGAGCGAACGGCTAGTAGTAACAAGTGCCTTACTAGTAGTAACAAGAAGCAAGTAGTAACAAGTGCCACGCTAGTAGTAACAGGTGCCTTACTAGTAGTAACAAGAAGCTACTAGGAACAAGTGCCACGCTAGTAG